AGTTTCCTCCCTCCCCAGCTGAATTCTCCTGCAATGGGCCATTGCACATCACCGTCTTAGTGCAGGTGACAATCTGTTTTGCTTTGCCAACCAAACCGTGGAGGAAAGGAAGCACTGAAGCAGTCGTGAGGAATTTCCTATTATGGAAGAAAAATGTGTTTATAAAACCTTACTCAGAAAAATCCAGCTGCTTAGCTTTCCATGACATTTGAAAACAAAAGGTTGAAGAGAAAAGAGATGATGGGTAAACAGTGAAGACTGATAGACTGCATCATGCCATGGGGCTGTACCAAGTGACTGGTTTTGTGTTACTGCTCCCTGTCTCTCTATTCCTGCAGATTCTCTAACTCCTACTGGTTGATCTCAGCCCAAATATAGAGTAAAATCTCCCCTCTAACGGGTTTTAGCACCTCTTTATAGATCCATGTGTGAACCGAGTTGTGAGGCTGGATAGGAAACAACGTATGAGAACAGGAAGCTGAGGATATGTTACCCAAACACCTGTCTTGCATTCAACATCTCCTCTAGGATTTTGGGGATTGCCATAGAAACAAAGCTTTTGAGGTCTGAGATAACCATTACAGCTGTGTAAACCATCGTAATGATGTTTATTATCACATCTCTCTGCGCAGTGCTGTGTGCTCCCCATCAGAGCCCCCCCTTCCCACGCAGCCACACTCTCCTACGCTGCACTACAAGGATGACTCACGAGCAGAGTTTCTTTAGGATTTAGAAATACGTTTGGATTTCAGCCAGCTGTGGAAAATACGCACACTTCCTCTAAGACCCCTACAGTACTCAGTATATTGCTTTACATATGGGATCTGAGTCAGTAATACTAAAAGCCTGAAGTTGAAGGAAGAGCAGAATGTGCTTATAAGCGTGTTCCTTGATAAGGTGATTCTTTTTATCATTTGTTCAATCATTTTGTGTGAATGAAATACCTGATATATTGCAGGGTGGAAATAACACTCCTCAAAAGAGAAAATACTTTGTGGAAATAACACTCTGACAGACAGTGTTCCTTACAGGGGCTGACTTTAAAGAAGTTGTAATACTAGGCAGAATGAGAAAATGAGAATATCATAATTACAACTGCAAACATGATTTCCAAACTTGCAATATCATGTCAAGCTAGCAAATCTGCAGATATTCAGGAACTCACCAAAACTGCCTTGGAAAGGTATGATAAATAACACCGAGAAAACAGCTATTTTTTTAACTGTTGTTGCAGCATGACTTTAGTTGTTGTATGCAAAATGGTTTAATGTCACCTTAATTGCAGCTTGCCTTGTGAAAAATGACCCTGTCAATTTGATAGAGGTAGAACATTGAGAAGTGCAATATTTTTTCTAATAGGCAAGAGCTGACAAAGATAGACTGAACGACGTGCAGCTGTACAAAACTGACCTGAATGTGAATTCCAAATGAAATTAAAAATATTGCTTTTAGATTTCACAGGGCTTGTTTTCTGTCTTTCTGTACTTGCTGGGCTTTGCTTATGCCTTCTATAGTTCAGTTCAGCAGCAGTGTTATTTTCCTCGTCGATACAAGCTGAAGGCTAAATATTGCAAGGTGTTTGGTGATGCCAATATACATTGGAACTCAGTTGTGCAGGGATCGTTTATCGACGCTTTTATTAGCAAGTATTAGGAGGGCACTTTCCGTTTGCCTTCTAACTGCAGTAAGCTGGAAATGAGGGAAAGGGCAAAAATGCTGTGGGTGATTCCATCCCTTACTCCCCCAGCTGCTTAGAGCAGCTCTGTACACCTACAAGGATGGGGCCCACAGCCCCGCTGGGATCCTGCAGTGTGTATCATCACAGCTAGTCAGGACAAGCTTCGAGTGTGAGGGCACCATGGGGAAATGGAGAACATTATTTTCTTTGGATTTTCAGTAGCCACTATAAGAAGTCTGAACTTTTATCTGCTTCTCCCCTGCTCTGCTTTATAAACAAACATGACACTTTATTCTACAAAGTGATTTCTTTCTGAGTTATGGAACCACAGAAAGAGCATATAAAACCCACAAACCTTATTATTTTTGGATTCTTGAAACTCAGAATTGATTTAAACCGAGTTCAGCGAGCAATATTTCCTCTCTGTCTGAGAAACTATATCCTGGGTTTCAGATGAGTAAATTTTTATGGGCATGTTATAATTATAAACCCTTGAGAAACAGATTTTGTAAGAGGGACACTGGCACCAAGCTTTGCTGTAGTTACTCTGCGCAGAGCTGACACGAGGAGGCTGAAAATCCATCCTCCTAAGAAGGAGCTTATTAAAAGACTGCAGTAGTTTTAATGACATTTCTTGTGACATCAAAATTATTTCATTTGGAATCACAGAGCATCTCTGCTGCTGCATTTTTGAAAGAGAAAATATTGCTGCAGCTTCAGTGCTATGAGCAGTGACTGAGGGAAGCAATCCAGAGAAATAAATCTGGGTTGCTACTCCATCCTCAGATGATGGGAAATGTAAATTAATCTGCTTAATTACAGCAGTGTGTAATAATCATCACTGGGAAGGCAGGAAAAATGTTTGGAAAGACCATATAGGTTTTGCAAATGATGTAGGTTCCTCTTTTCCTTCTAAACTGATGAATAATAGCTGAAATGTCAGTGATAACTGAACTGAAAATGAGGAGGCTTGGCTCACATCAGATGTATTTGGAGACTGATGTTCTTATTCGGCTCTGAAGAGATCCCAGATTGATTTTCTTGCAATACTTCAAACCAAATGGGTGTTTCCAAGCAGTACCCACTTCTGATTGGACTATCTCCTTACTATTTATCTAGTGCCATTTGTAAACAGGAATTCAAATCAAGTCATAGTGAGGTGCTTGGCCCAAATATATCATGCCATAAGAGATTAAGTCCTGTTCACTGGATCAACCTTTAATTACACTTCAGCTATGCAGGTAGAAAGACACTTCACACAGATAGGCAAATGGTTTTATCCTGGCTCAGAGCAGAGACAGAGCTCCAAACCAAAGGTCTTCAGTGCTGCGAGGCATAGACCCATACTGCATCCTATAGCCAGACTTCCACTCATCTCAGAACCCAACACTCATTCTCTGGCAGCATGCTTCTTGGCTACTGTGGGATCTCCTTGGGTTTACTCACCAGAGGATGAGCTAAAGCCTTGCTGGGCTTAAATCAGATGTGCAATATAACACGCAGCAGCAACAGCATGTGGGGAATTTGGGACAGCAGACAGATTGCTGCAGGCTGAACAGGGAAGAAGTTCCTCGAGGAAATAGCCCAGTTTGCATTACAGCCATTGGGTTTTTGAGATATTTTTGCCAGCATGTATTTAATTGGTTTGAGAACGAAGTGGGGAACGGAGAAACACAGAAAACGCAGCCTGTAGGCATCTGGGCAGCCAAAAAGCAGCTGCAATGGGAAGTGTGATGAGGTTGGAGGTTGGGCAAGTTCGAAGATTTGAGAATCTGAGTGATTCCAAGCCCAAATGCAAAAGGAAAAACCCTTTTTTTTTTCCCCCTTCATTCAAGCCAGATCATCTCTACCTGCACAGCTCACCCAGTTGCTGAGCCTGACCCCTACTCTAGTCAATGTCAGAGCTCCTGCTGGCTTCAGCAGAGGCAGGATCTGTCCCTTTGCTAGACGATCATGTTTGTATTTAATACCCTGCAACTTAGAGTGAGGATTAGCAGAATTAGCCTCCCCTAATTTGTGTATCTCAGGCTGCCAAATGGCAATTAACTTTAGTGCGTTTGAATTAAAAGGGGAAAATTATTAACCACCCTTTCCTCATGCAATTATAATTTTACGCTTTTGGAAAATTTCTCCTCAGTCTGAAAGTTGCCCACACTCCTGTGAGCCCACCCCTCTCCATATCCTTTACTTACTAGAACAGAATGCAATTTCTCACCCCGCTGCTTTCACACGCTCCTTCAGCCTGCCCAGTGCTCTCGTGGCACTGCGCACTGTGCTGGTTTGCTTTGTGCTGACCCCCAGCTGCACAAAGCACCCAGGGCACTTTGCAGAGGGCTCACAGCTTTGAACTCACCAAGGATGACACCTATGCCTGTAGCCCGTACCAAGAGTCACAGCTAGCTGCTTTTTTGTGCAGCTTTTAATCATCCAACTTGGAGACTCAACATCACTCCTTTCCTTCTTCAGTGCAAAGGAGCCTTATTTTCTGCTTTATTTTCAGCCCGGAAGCCCAACAGTATTCTGTGCTACACCAAAAGAGGGGTGGCCAGCAGGGGAGGGAAGTGATTGTCCTCCTCTGCTCTGCCCTTGAGTGTAACCATCTGGACTACTGCATCCAGGCCTGAGCTCTCTGATGCAGGGAGTATGCAGAGCTGTTGGAGTGAGCGTAGAGAAGGGCCAAGGGCTGAAGCACCTCTCCTATCAGGTGAGGCAGAGAGAATTGGGATTGCTCAGCCTGGAGAAAAGAAGGCTCGGGGAAGACACTGTTGCAGCCCTCCAATACTTGAAGGGAGCTTGCAACAAGGAAGGGGAGCTAACTGTTAACACTGTTTGATAGCGATAGAAGTAGGGGGAGTGGCTTTAACCTAAAAGAGACGAGGTTCTGAACAGATTTTAGGAAGAAGTTCTGATCTCAGAGGATGGTGAGGCACTGGCACATGCTGCCCAAAGAATTTGCAGATGCCCCATCTCTGGAGACATTCAAGGCCAGGCTGGATGGGCAGTGAGCAGCATGAGCTGGTGGGGGGCAACCAGGCCATGGCACGGGGGTTGGAACTGGATGATCTTTAAGTTCCCCTCCAACCTCAGCCATTCTGTGATTCTATGGTGATTCTGCTCTTCCTTTCTTGCACATGCCCAACTGGACTTTGCCTCTGTATGCACTCAGGCTTGCAAGGCTCCAGTTGGAACTGAACATTTTGCTTTCCTGCAGATATTTTCCACAGGCATTCCCTCCCTGGTATATGAAACAGTGGTTCTTATCTTAAAATTTTACGTTCCTAGGAAAGAAAATACAGTTTTAGGTCTTGTTAGGGGGATAAATATACACACACACACGAACAGATAGCTTTTGATTTACGTATCACCCTTCTATAATAAATACATTTGTAATAACATAATGAAATTTTTGAACAAAAGTTCTTTTACAGAAGAATAATCTTTAACTGGTGTGAAATGCCTCACTGGGACTGTGTCAGGTTTTAATTTCAGTTTGAATAAATTATTGGAGACACCAGGCTAGGAAAGATAAAGGCGAATTTCATCTACTTCCAGCTTGCCATAATGGAAATAATAACTACTTTAGCCAAAAAAACAAGTTTCCAATTAGTTTCTCTAAAATAATATTATTCCCGTTTATATAGATACTGTAGCTCATTTTGAAACCTAATTTTGATAATATATAAACATTTCTAAAGCAGCTATTCCCACCAAAAGAATGGCAAGAGCAGACTTTGACAGTACATGTTGGGAGCATATCAGTACTGAAATACAGTATTTGCTTCTCTTTAACTGAATCTTACAATGAAAGTGGAAAATCAATTTAAAGTTTGCTCAGTGATGAAGACATCTGTCCCCAAAGACTTTATTTTAAATGGCTGGATGGCGATCATTAGACAAGATATTTTGAAGTTACAAAATTCATTTATTCTGGAAAGAAATACAGATTTTTTTTTTTTCCCTTTAATGAAAAATTAATGTACTTTGTGGGGAGCTTCAAGAAACAGTAAAAGTGAAATAGTACTGACTCTGAAATGCAACTGAAAGGAGATGATTTATGAAGCATTTTAAAATCAGAAGCCAACGCTAATGTTGTTTGGCAGACAAAAAAATAAATGCCCTCAAGATGAGGTTAATGTGCTAGAAAGGACCCTTTGAAGGGACATAACAGGACTATGCTCAGTCCCACCCAGCAATCACTTGTTACAACTGCCATTAATGTCTGTGCAATTGAGCAAAAGGAAAAGCTTCTGTTTGAGAAACAGTTTGTAGACAAGGGAAAGTCAAGCTCTGACATCCTATGCAACATTCTGTACTCACAGAAATATCATCCATGAGATGGGCAATCACAGTAGGAATCTTCCTCTGCTCCCTAAGTCCCTCCAGAGGCTCCAACAGGCAATGAACTGGCAGCTGTCTTCCTGCAAAGGCAAAAGGTGAAGCTCTGGGATTTGTCCTGGACCTCAATTTCCAAACCTCTACGCTCCCAACTTCTGCCCCATACCTTACTAGAGCAAAGCTCAAACCCCTAAAGGCCCTGAAAAGCAGAGTAATTTGGCCAGAATCACAGCAGCTGTGGAGCTCTGCAGGGGCTTCCAGCTGCTCTTTGAATCCACAGGGCTGGAGGCATTTGCCCTGGGCTTTAGTTGTCTAAATGAGCATGGCATCCCAGCGCATAGCCATCATGTCTGACTAATGTGATGTCAGCGTGGTGGGTTCTGCCTGCACAGTAATGAGTGACAAAAACACATATGGTACATGGCCTGAACTCTGACAGTGTGTGCAGGCAGCCCAGGGGTGTAGCCCCAGCACTCCAGTCGACCCCTGCCATAGCAAAGGGAAAAAAGAGGAACAACTTTCAGAACTCCAAACACAGTCCAGAAGGACAGCATGAAGTAAAACAGATGTATCCAACATTTTTTTTTCAAATTCTAAGATTGCATTTCATAGAGTATAAACTTCTCATTATCACGTATAGATGTGTGTGCAAAACTGCAGTGGGATAGATCTTCTGGGAGTCACTGATAGTTCCAGTGGTGTTTTTGTAAATTTGGGCACCTTCTGGTTTACCCTTGCTGTAATTATGAATCTACGGTTGGAGAATAATGGAAAAATATCCCATGCAGAAAGCCTGGCCACATAGCTGGCATGTATATTTTATGAAGGTGGCTCAGGTTGCTCATCACAATCAGCTTCTGGTCTTACTGGCTGTGGCGTGGGGTCCTTTAACCCAGTACCTTGCCTCTGGTACAGCCAGCATGAAAATACAACAGTGGAAAGTATAAAGAGCAGGCAGGAGGCAAGCTTAAAATAATTATCTTTCACATTAGATCTCAGCCTACCTTTTGTGTAAGTCCTTGCTCCCCAAGTTTTATGTGAGTAAATGATTACGGAGAGTAAACCTCTGGCTGGTGGTGGGACATGGTGTTATCAAGAGACTTCCAACTCTTGTGATGGCGTTGTAAACTGCCACCCAACATCACCCATCAGGCTGATGTTTGTCCATAGAACCATCCATACCGTTCTGAAATACCATGTTTGCAAACATCAAGTGCTGTTAGTAGATGTGGGGCACTGAAAGAAATCCTCACTCCCCATGAATTGCAGTAAATAATTAGAGCAGTGCAGACAGTTTGTCTTGCAGAGAAGGATAGTAAGAGAAAAAGGGCAAAGCTGGGCAGAAGTTGGCAGGAGTCATTTCTCTTTGTATGTGTTAACATGCAGCAAGATACGCATTTGCATTTGCTCCATCCTCTCCTGTAAAAGATGTTTTATGTGAGATTGGGAACAGACACAGGCATAGTAACAGCATCCTTTAGGTGGGATTGGCTACAGGTGGGATGTGCTGAAACCTCACCGTGCCCAGCACAAACAGAAGGGATATTTCACAGAGCTCTGTGGAAGGTAAAAGGAATCCTTGATTTGAGAGTAGGAATGTGGAGTTTATATTCCATGAAAACTGCCTCATGAAACTGTGCGTTAAATGGCTTCTTGGAAACGTGCTGCCCAATAAGTAAAACTAATAACTCTACCCGTGCAATAAGGCAATGAGTCAGTGGCAGTGTGGGGAAATAATGGAACAAGAGGGCCATTCATCACCTGTGTGCTGAAGATCTTCCCCACCTGGGGAGGGGAAGGGAGCTGTCGCTTTGTCAAGTTGCAGCCAGAAATCACTTGCTGGAGAAATGCTACAATTTGCACTTGGTGGAATGGAAACTTAAAACTGACATAAACAGAACCACTCAAAAATAATGAAATGAATTTCTGAGAGGCTTTATCTCATTCCAGGTTCAGCACCGGCAGCTGAATTTACATACTGCAGGAAAGCAACTGCAGGGGTGGAAACCAAGAAAATGCTGTTAGAAACATAAGCGGTGGAGCAAAGGGATCCCAGGAGAGCAGAGGAAATTCAGAGCTGCTGAACGTTTCAGAGTAATCCTTGAGGACTGAGCTTCTCTCATCCCTCCCATGCAGGAAGAAAAGAGTTAATACACATTGTCAGTGCCTGGGGAATCATTCATGGGGGATCTTTTGACAGAGTAATCTTCCTATTTAGAAGTATTTTCTCATTATGTGTAATAGGATGATGAACTGAGAAATGATCTCAGCCACTTATGATTCTAAAAGCCCCCAGCCTGAATAATCTATGCTGATTTAGAGATAATAGCATCAGAGACATAACTCATTTAGCACAGTGTCCATTTACTCACTCTGAAGACTTTCACTTTCCTACACCAATTTTTATAGACACTTGTAAAAAGTTGATAATTATATAAAAAGAATAACGTAATAAAAAAATGACAAGTGTGCGGCGAGAGCCACTTTGTCCAGGGATGCACTACAGACATACAAAACCTGTTCCTAATGAAGTGCAATACAAATTCTAAGAGAAAGAAAACGCAGGGAGCGCTTCCCTTCTGCACTCATTAAAGTCAAACAAACGGGCAGAAAGGATGGTTTTGTGCGCAAGAAGAGGCAGTGGCACTCAGCAGATGAGAGCTGTGCGCTCCCTGTGCCACTGAGAGCACGTACTGCTGCTCTGCTGGGGTTTCTCTTTGGTAAGGAAGTGGTGCTGAGCCTTGATTTCATCGCCGCACCTGCTTAGACTTTGCACTTTCGGAGGCAGAAGTCATCTTTTATCAAGTCTCTCTACAGGGCCTACAAGAGCTACATCTCTGCAGTGGGCTCTGCGTTCTCCTATGGCACATGTTATAGCTCACTAGCAGAGGCAGCTGTCCCCAGTTGCTCAGCATTACAGCCAGCACTTTCCCCATTCTGCTTCCTCATGCAACATCTTATTTGCAGGAAAAAGTGTTTTCCCATATGTGGGGCAACAAATGTCAGGCTGACCTAAGGAGCACACTTCTCTCCTCTTCAAAAGGTGGTGATGAGCTATTTCAAATGCCAACTATGTCATCCTGAATCATCTTTCATTTCTTTTTTTTTTCTTTTTTTTTCTTTTTTCTTTTTCTTTTTCATGTCACAGAAACATAGTTTGTACTTTCATGTGTCCCATTGACTGTAGGCAGTTTTCATATTTTCTGAGCTGATCATTGGAGCTTACTCATAAGCTGTGTTTTGTCCCCAAAGGTCATCCTGAATAATTTGGGGTCGGACACTGGAGTAATCACATGCAGCACTGCGGAACAAGAGCTGAGTGTTTCATTTGTAAGGCAGGAGGGCCATGAAGAAACAAGGAATAGTTTAACCTTGACTCTGCAGTTTTAAGAAAGAGCTGATGATACAACTGATCCCATATGGTGCTGGTTGCCTCTCAGAAGAGACAGCCCTTTTCTCTCCTCCACTCCCAAATGCCCTCTCCAAGAAGAAATCCTAAATTTCAACATCACTCTTGGGAAATGCCAGATTGCCTTCTAACTGATTCTCTTGGCACGTTCTTCCTTTCCTCTAGCTGACTTATCTGTCCTATGAACTCAGCCCCATCCTTGCAGGCAACCAGGATGGCGGTGTAGCTTCACTGCACCCTCATGTCGACCTGAAGGTTTTGCATTCCTCCACTTCCTTTTTTTTCCCATGCTGCTTCTTTCTGTGCTGAGGCCTCTCTAGAGTTAGATTGCTGTTTGATTATGTAATAAAGCCATGAATTATTAACGGTATATAAAATATTGACAAACTGTTCTCTGAGATAGAACAGCTTTAAAGTATTGATTATGAACCCAGAGAATTATAATTAGTTTCTGCATAAGAGATAATTAAGTTATTATAGTTTCTTTTTCTTCTAATATTGTGATGGATAGCAGGTATTTATACTGAACTCCATGAAATCTTATGAAAATTAAGGCAATAGGTTTACAGGCACTCAAGATAATGGGAAAATAATGCATGATGGGAAAGCGTTTACATTTTCGAAGAGCTCAGCTGGCAATGTCTGCTTGCTGCGTAATGAAATCAGTTCAGGTTTGCTCTGGGGAAACTCCTGGACACAGAGGTGTGATTGACTTCAGTGGAGGCAGAATCTCGTTTCAGTTTGGTTCTGCTGGAAATCAAACTGATGCTGCTGTGCTTTGTGGGCTGGAGCGCATTCTGAGCCTTGTGACTGCTACCTTCACGTTTGGCCAGGAGGTACCATCTTACAGATATTCAGTTTCTGTAGCTTTTTTGAGAAGCTCACAGGCAAAACCATGGCAGTTAGTGTCGCTCATCGGGATCTCGAGGTGACATGATATTGCTAAGTAGTTTTTATGGGTTCTGATTGATCTGGTCCTTCACTTGCTTGTTTCTCCTCTCCCTGCCTTTTTCTCTGCTGTTTGTAAGGAAAGATGAAGGTGAAATGGCGTACAGCAGGTCACAATTACTGGGACATCATCCCAGATGATCTCCTGGTGCTCTCTGAACACAAATTACCTATTCCTATGGAGGCCCTCTCAGGCTGGTACGTCTGCCAAGAGAAAATCAAGTAGACAGAGAATTTGAGAAGGTTCCTCCACCCTAATGAATCATGATGCTAGAAATGTTCCTGATTAGATCTAATTTGTTCCTGAGTCCCCCAGAGACAGAAATTTCCCAACCTCCCCTAATCAGGTTCAATGTTGTGTTACTTTAGGGTAACATTTCCTAGTGTAGAACTTTCTACATTCAGGAGCTCAAAGCAAAATGAAATTAAGGGACAGGTTAAATTCAGCGAGCAAATTAGGGCTATGATTTATCTTATGAGGAAGTACAGAGATTGTGTAATGTACCTGGGAATTTGCTGCTTCACTTTTGGATTGTCTTATTAGAGCTCCGGGGTCTAATGCAACAACCAAAGGGATGTGAGTCATAGAATCATAGAACATCTCAAGTTGGAAGAGACCCATAAAGATCAGAGCCCAGCTCCTGAGTGGCAAAACCACCACACAGCCTAACAAACCATCCAGGGTGGCCACGGGCATCGTAGGGTGGAAATTCAATTCAAAGAAAC